TTGTGCTCTTGTTTTTTCTTTCTGCTGTCGGTCACATTTATTTCTACTGCTGTTTACCTCAGTAGAATCCTGGCTGGCTCGCCAATGTCAGGTTTTGTATATGGCGGAGATTCTTTACAGTAGGTGTCTGTGACTTCTTGGCAGTAAGTTTCAACAACAAATGGACAGCACATAATCAACTTGTTGTAAAATAATATATTCAAAACAAGTCAAACGTATGTACAAAAATTCATTACACTATTGATTAATATAGTTGTATCCAGAACTTTAAATAATTGTTCATACTAATATGCAAATGATTATGTGGCAACCCTCCACCAATAAGAGTGCGATACTACCTCTATCGTAACTAGTGCTCTCTCTAATCTTGCAGCTGTTAACCACTTTGAGATTAGTCAGATCAAACTAAACCACACTGGAAGTGGGGAGGATGGGTGGGAAATGTGAGAAGAGGTTAGTATGTATTGGAAATAAACTTTTAGTTTAGAAAAATGTTAACATCTGATACGATATCTTACCTCCTCTCACAAAACTCCAGAATCCCATATTGAGCTGGTGGAGGACCAGTGAGAAGATAATCCCCCCTTTAGGAAGAGCCCATAGGAAAACCATGGAGTGTGAGAAAGAATTCAAAACAATACACCCATGGGAGACCACACCACTTCTGAGCTAGGTATACTCTTTGCCCTTTAGTAATGTGTCACCAAAAAGGGTAGAAACATGGAGGGACTCAAAGAAAAAATTACAGAAATAATGGGACTCCCTGGTGTATAGTGACTAGGGTGCTACAGAACATAAATGGGAGTTTGACCTTAACCAACACTTGGCATCTAGAACTGTAAATCAGGTCCATGGTAAGAAAAGGGTTCTTTACCTTTCATCTCAAAAACGAGTCCTGGCAGGGAATAGGTGTTTCAGTACCAAGAACCAACAACAGATCCACTGGATACAGACATCCGGCAGATGGTAGAAAGCCCAGGTGGGTGTTCATCTCTTGTCCAAAACCTGGCAGTATTGGGAATTTTTCTTCAAGTCCATTGTAAAAAGAGGGTACCCAACCTTATACAAGTGGGAATTCATGTGTCTCATTCAGCTACAACCAACACTAGATCCACTGGGTACTGATATCCAGCAGATAGTAGGAAGAGGGACCACTATTTGGGATTGCATCTCCTGTCCTAAACCTGGTGACATTGGGAATTTAGTATTCAGTTTGTGTAAGAAGGAGGTAATAATCCAAACATGTGAGGACTTATGTGGCTGGTCCAGCTACAACCAACACTAGATCCATTGGGAACCTGCATCCAGTAGGAAGAAGTGTGCCTCAACCGGAGGGGAAAACTGCAATATATGGCAGAGTGCTACATCCAACACCTCGTGGCATCTGGAAATGTACATCAGTTCCATGGTGGGAAGAGCATCATGCCATCTACACCACCAGAATGCCTCTGCCCTACACTCAACTGAGTGGTATTGTATGCACTCAGGAGAACAAGCCTCTATTGTCCACCACCCTAATGACTAGGAACTGGTAAGTGGCAAGGGTTTCCATTTTTCACTAGAAGAAGGAGGGAAAATGTGCATCAGAGAATCAGATGACCGCAGCACCATAGTCGGTGCAATGGATGGCCATGATACCCTATTTTGAAAAGCAGAGTGATTACGTTGATGGAGTCAATACCTGGTGGTGTCTGAATTGTACATGAGGTCCACAGTAGGAAGAGCCTCAAATGCCACTGACCATCAAAGATGGTCAGTAGTCTCTCTGCTTTACTCATGAGCATACGGTCCGAAACAAACATATTTATGAAGCAATATACCGGGAGGTATTCCTACTAGCAGTCATGCAGAACACCCCATTTTAACAGTGAGCATAATACAACCTGGTTATGTTGTATTACATTGTATTTTGAAAAGCTAAGACCATGTTGACAGAGTCGATCAACCAACACCTGGTGGCGTAAGGAATTCTACATCAGGTCCATGATAGGAAGAGCTTCAATGGCACAGATAATCTAAGATGTTATATGACCACAGGCCACACAATGCAGATTTAAGACTAAGTACACCTGGTTAGGCAACACTCACCACAGAATAGGATCCAAACATGCAAAAAAGGCCCCTGAAAAAAAAAAAAAAAAAAAAAAGGGAGTACTTACCAGTAACTGAGAAACAAAGGTGTAAAGGTATGTGGAATGGTCCACATACCTGCACTGATGATGTCCCCCAAGGAAAGACAGAAATGTGCAGCCAAAGACATAGTAAGATGACAGATCTGATGGGAAGAAAGATGAAAGAGATGACAATCGTCAGGAGAAAAGGGAAGAGCATGCTATGTGAATCCAACCCATAAGGGTAATGGGAGAAAGGTCACGGGAGATGTTAGGAGTCTAGAAATAAACAAACAGG